CAATGGCAAAAATATGACATGGCTGAAATTAGATATTCTGGTTTTGACACAAAATGGCAAAATTTGAGCATGGCAATAAAAGCCAGTTATACTGTATACACTATTGAATAGTCAGGTGGGTAAATCCATGTTTTGCATTAAATATGACATTCAAATATATATATATATTTGCCCCAGACTTTAAAAACAAGGTAAGTTCTTTTGGCTATTTTGGTCCACACAAGGGTTAATTAACTACCGGTATTAACATCTAATGTGTCACAGATTATTAAATTAATATTTCTTATTTCAACAACCCTTATTCCAGACTTTCTCTACAAAATAGAAAACAATGACACAAGCAAGCAAATAAAATAAAGAAAAGAACGCATTAGGAAAGAAAGAAAAAAAAAGAAATAAACAGAAACATAATTAACTAATTAACTTCTGTTAAATGAAGCATACCTCATATGACTACTACTGATGAACTGTCTTATAAATGAAAATACTTCTTTGTTATTCTTCTTCCATGATATTTTCATACATCAACAGCATATCCCCAAAATTCTATAAATAGCTTTCAGACATTGAAACTCGCACATATTGTCTCCCACTTTTGGTTCATTTATACACATCTAAGCAAAAAATAAACAATTCGGCAACTTTCGGTAGAAAGTCAGACTCCTTGGCAGTATGCAAGCAGACTCCAGAACTAATTACTTATAAGGCCCTGGTCTAAATATGCATTCCCTGACACTTAATCTCAAATGATGTCAAATACTCCTCGGAAATCTGTGATATGAAAACCTCACTTCAGTTTTCTAACAAATTTTAACCTATTTTGTTCTACATCAAATACATATGTAAGTTGGTGTATCAGAATTAGCACTAATCACCTGTTTTTATAGAGGGGTAAATATACCCTGAATAATACAATCCTTGTTTTCTCCTAACTTACACATTTCTTAAAATTTGAATCTGGTATGAACAGAGTTATTTAAACTGAATTTTGGGGATAATTTCTTAATTATATTTCAACAAAGAAGAAGTTGAAAAAGAAGCTCAATCCAATTTCAGAATCCACAATACAAGTATCCTGGAAATATTGGACAGACCAAATATAATCTGATACATATATATATTTGTCTCTCTGGTGTTTATGTGTGTCCGAAAATTGTGCTCCAGCAATAATAGTATGAAAATTAACAAAAAGTTTTTAAAAATGTCCGAACAGACCAGAAATGTCTTCATTTGCAACAAAGCACTTTTTTCTTGTCTGAATCATTTTAAGCATATTATGATTTGCTAAAACTACCTCTGGAATCTTTCATCCTCTTTAAACTGATGTCTCCTTCTGGTCATTAATACAAATGAAGAATTCCACACTAGAAAAACATGTATAAATACAGCTGTTGATAGGACTTGCACCCTACCTGTCAAAATTAAAATACCGGTAAGCCAAAAAATCCTTTCGAATCCTTGAAATTTGGTAACTGGGTAATATGTAAATAATACACTAACAAAACAGGTGAGGCAACGGTCTAAGGGAGATAACTGGTGAGTATGAGTATGGTTTCACATGCAACATGCATCTACCTGGTAGTGCTGAAATGTTTACTTAATATCATATACCATATTTTTTCCAAATACTGTACACTGAAAAAATTGTGCCAAGAGAAAATCAAAACTTGACTCAACTTATTAAAAAAACCAAGATCAGTCTATTAAAGTCGTTATGATATGCTCCTTGAATGGGAAAGCAATCTGACATTATACTGAAACTTTACACCTACTCCTTGAGATTGATAAAAAAACATTGGTCTTGACACAACACATGAATCAATTGAGCAAACTTAACCAAACATATTCAAGCTTCTTTTTCACCATATAGGCAATACACACCAAAAAAAACTTGCTGCAAACTTTGACAGAATCATACATCCATGTACATATATATATCAAATTCTCAAAAACAATGGATTTTGTCATTACCAGAATCTATCTCCAACTTCAAACTCAGCCTTTAATGTCTTAAGAAGATGCTATCGTTTTGTATAATACAAATCCTGGAGAATTTCTGGAAAGGACTTGCTAATAACTTAAGTTATGTATTAACATTTGACGTTTTTTTCATCCACATTTCATTGATTACACAACTACTGTTCTCCATATTGTTTCTTTAGTTTCAGTCTAACAAATGCTAATGTGACAAACAGAAATATTCATTTCCATTTCATGAGATTTATGAAACTCTTAATAAACTACTAAGTTAAATGAATAAACTGACAAGAGATTCCATAGGGTTCTTGGTGCCCACCATTGTTTGATCTTTATTTGCTCGGTGAATGTTGGGTCATTTCTTCCATTTTCCTTTTCTTTTTTTGCTCTTAATGATAAGAAATTTGAACATTCCAAATAGCAATGATGATCTTACCTGCCAAAATCCAAGATGGCTTCCTGTCCCCATTTTGTTTTTTTTATCAATCTTCAGCTCAAACAGACACAACTAAGGATAAAGAGGAACCTATACATGAAATCTGAGAAATATCTGCTGTATTTCTCAAAAGGTAGCGATAACTAACTTTCAAAATCAAAGGTGGCCAACTGCTGGCCTTTATTTTTTTGATCAGTATCAAAATCAAACAGGCACAACAAGAGATCATGGGAAACATATCAAATTTGAGAAAAAAAATCTTTGCTGTTTTTCTCAAGAAATAGCAATAACAAATTTTCTAAGTCAAAATCCAAGATGGCCACCTGTCGGCCATTTTGTTTCATTTATGTGACCTAAAATAAAACAAGAGCAACCAGGGACCAAGGAGAAGCTGAAATTTAAGAAAGAATCATCCAATTCTTCACAAGAAAAAGTGATAATAAAAATTGTTTATGGATGGACAGACCACGGACGTAGGGTGATTCAAATAGAATTAAAAAGAAATTCTATATAATTATGACATCATATTGATATGAGTTTTTGTAAACAAATCATCATGATAGTACCAAGTTAATTTTTGTTTTAATTTTTTTTAAAATCTATACAAGGACAATATGCATAAATTCCAAGCTAGAAATAAATTTTGAAATACTCCTCCTTTTCCAAAAACTATTTTTGCATTTCCCCTCATATTTTTGTTCACTCAAATAGTCATTACCTTCTAATCATTTCTTCATGGGTCTTTATAACAAACTGAAAATATAACACTGGATTACATGAAAAGTCATTGCTTTCAATATGACAAATTTCAATGAAGTTCTGAGCTCAAACTTAAATATACTGTTTCCAGGATTCATGACGGGGTAAAAGTGCTAAATACTCAGAATATGATGTGTATTACTACATTAACATTTTTGATAGTGAATATGAGCCAATGGAAATTATAACCAACAAATTTTATTTTCCCGAGAATGCTTATGTCAGGAGATCGATTTCTTGAATTGAACAAAGTGAAATGTATTTAATGTAGCGTAATAACTATTGACAACAAGCCTATTCCTGAATCTACTGTAATATTTAAAAACAGACACTAGTTAATCTAACAATAAGGTCTTATAATAATAAACTTAAAATAAACATTGGTTGAATAGATGTAAAGAGAACTGACAGACCCTGCTGTACAAAACGACGTTTTGATAAAAAGAAAATGAAATTATGAGGTGCATGAGGGGACTTCTAAATGAACAACCTATTCCCACAACTTACTTTTCACAACAGCTGATAACATATAGATATTACAAAGTAACTTTGGAGATAGTAATTTCAACCAAATCCTTAAACATTAGTCCAATGCCATCCTCAATATAAGCAAAGATGTTCTATCACAAGTCAGGTTCATGTTTGATTTCTAATTAAAAATCAATGTACCTTTTCCTAAATCAAATGAAGCTACAATGTAAAATCTCCTAACAAAATCAACATATATCTCATTTTGTAACCAACATTTTGAGTCATTTTGAAGTTTGAATTCTAGCCATATTTATCACATACCTTACCAATGTTTAATTTGCTGATCATCTTCTGAAAGGGTTATTTCCCTTCCACAAATAACAGTCAAAATGTCATCAATGAATGCTGATTAACAAATTAAAATTGAAAGTTTTTGGACAGGAGGAGGAAAAATATATCATAAACGTATTAAGCTCTTATCCAGCTTTAGAAAGCAAGACTCATACTGTAACATGCTGATGATGATATATATATATATATACAGTATCTCCCCAGTATAATTAAATGGTAAATCACTGGGGTTTTTTGTCTTCATGATTCCAATGACTAAGATAATTCGCTAGAAGGATTAAACGCAAATCAAAATATTGCAAGACACACAAGTGATCTATAAGTATGATGGCAGGATTTTCAGCTCTGATCTATCAAATGTGTACTGGTATTGATAAATAATGACCTATTTAACATTTAATCATATATATTTACTTATATAAGGAGTCATTTTCATGGTTTCCATTCTCAAATTCAACTAATCTTGTTTTCTGTATTGCTAAACATGAGAGCTTTAAATCTTGGTGAGAAGAAAAAAAGCACAGAAAAAACAAAAGAAACTAAAACTGAAGTATGCTATGTCCTATTCTCTTAAATTTACACAGGGTGATGAATGTGAGAATGGAAACCCGAGTTCTGTACATATATATATAATATATAAATACCTACAAATACACAGCGCTAGTGACACAAGAATATAAATTCAACTTTGTTCAGGATACATGTATAATATTTAATCATGCTGAAATGTTGATGACTAAGATGTGTGTTAATTATTGTCAATTAAAATTAATCGTCAAGACTTCCATCCACAGATATGAAATCACAAGCCTTATAATTAAGGTGTGCACAAATGCCAAATACCAACAGTCCTAGCATTCTATATGTGAAAGATGCTAATTTTTTTTAAAAGATTGTTTCAACTTTGTAAATCAAGCAACCAAGCAACTAAAATTTCTAGGACAAAATATGTTATTACAGAGAATACACTTCTAAGAAAAGTATAAAGTATACTTATCCAGTTTAATTGCAATCTGTTCTAAATGATTTGATCTAATTTGAGGAAAAAGCACAAGAAATTCAATTACCAAAATATGATAGATTTTTTTGTATGAAGGCAGCTTAATTAGGCAAGAAGCTTTAGAACTATGGTGTAATCTAAAACATGGGTAAACACTGTGACACTAAACAATGCTTATGTAAAACTTGTTTTAAAAAAATGACAAAAAACTAAATTCTAATGATAATGACCTAAATAAAGTTTCTTTTAATTTTCTTGATTTGTTTACCAGGCACAAAGACAACAATGAATCACATCTCTACAGGACCCTTTTAACCATGTATTCCCATTTTCATGTTTCTTTTGTAATCAATGTTAAAATTGATTTCACAACAATCTACTTATAGATGGGAGTATTCACTTTCTAGAACTTTATCCGTTTGCCAAAAACCAGAACATCATCTGAAACTTCGAAATTCAATTAATCCAAAAAGTCTGACATCACTAATTTGAGTACTCGGGTAAACAATTTCAAGCTTATCCAGAATCCTGAACACGCTTCTTAATAATCTTCTATTTAGAAAGTGAAACTTTTCTATGAAGATAAATATTGTATATATAAGTAAACTAGATCCTTATGTAGGTGCTAAACACAAACACATGGAGAATGATATGACTGTTACCTTCACTGTGTGCACATGATTAATGATGGGATGAAAGGTCTGACACAATTAATACAATAGCCTCTCATTCCAAAAGAGTAACAACTCCAAAGGGATGAAAGCTTCCACACAATTGAATGTCCCCACCCCCCTATAGGGTACCGTTAGAACTCTGAGGGATACACAAATGCTTTGACAAGGTAGAGTTTTTCATTTTCTTGCTTGAATATTGGATGTCTTTTATAATGCTCTATCAACTCGTCCAGAGAGCTAAATTTCTGTTGGCCGATCTGGTACAAGTTGTCATTCACTTGAACACGAAAGTGTTTATTTCTTTCACTTGCTTTTAACACCACAGTAAAGTTCCCAGCCTGAAAAAATAAAAATTATACATATTATCTATCATCTGAAATACTAAAAATGGCAAATACTCTTCTTTGTAAATTAATGACTGCGTGTAGGATTTAAAAAATAGGTTTATCATGTACATCTAATTTTCAAGTGAGACTTATTAAGCTACAGTATAGCTACATAGTGAAGGAAGGCAAATCTATAACAGGATCCCATCAAAATCTTAAAATCCCTGAAAAGAATCCAGATACATATATAGATGTACCTATATAGGGTACATGCAACTTTAACACTGATTATGATACCAAACTAAATTACTGTTATCTATCATTCTACATTTCAATGTTACAGTGTACTTACGGCAGATTCACTATCACGGATAAGAAAATCTCCTTCATCTGCAAACTTTTTCAACACATCCTCACATTCTTGCCGAGTAATTTTACCATAGTACCAGTCTTTCTCTGCCATGGGACCAGATACACGGAATTGTTTCCTATTGCCAACAACACTCAGATTTGAGGCGTTGGATAGACTACTTGTGGATTGGGACTGCGGTGTACACGAGCTTGTGTTTGTGGCGGTTTCTCCCTCACTGTCCTCAACAGTCTGTACGTAATTCCGTGGCACAAGACCTGCCTCCCCACGCCCATTTCGTGCCTTCCACCACTCCGGATCAACAGAAGGCTTTTCTATGATCACTAACCTTTCACCTTTTTCAAAACTAAGTTCCTCCGGATTTGTACTATTGAAGGGACATATCGTAGTGACAGTTTCTTGTGTATCTGGTTCTGGAAGTGGAGGTTGGGGGCATTCCAGAGCAGCAGCCGAAGTGTACATGGTCCCATCATTTTCTGACTGTTCTAAATCAACATAATTCGATGGAAACCACCCTGTTGTTATATTATCTGCTTTCCTACCTTTCCACCAGCCATCGGAAGATTTTTCTAAAACCATCACTCTTTCACCTTTTGTAAGCGACAGTTCATCTGGTTGCTGTGCGGCATATGTAAACTTTGATATGGCTGGGGAAGGGTCACATATTTGAACGTCACTACTAGTACTGTTTTGGTCACTTCCTGTATCACCATTTCGACTTACCATGGGACTTGTAACTGTTACTTTGCCCTCCCCTTTATTTTTTCGACCAAGGGTATTGCGCAAACTCGTGAGAAACTTTGATGTCTTGGAACGCTTCACAAAATTAGATGGCACAAAGCCTGATTTATTGCGACTGTTTTGGACTTTCCACCAGCCCCGAGTGTCGTCCAGAAGAACAAGTTTCTCATTCTTTTTTATGTCGAGTTCTTGAGCATTCTCCGCCTTGTAGTCATACTTAGCGATGACAATTTGCTCCTCAGCCATGTCGGATGAAGTGGGCATTAGTTACTGGTATGTGAGAACAGCCACATCTGAAACAAAGACAGACGCTGATTAGTTTTTATCCCACATAATTTGTACAAATCAATCAAATGCCATACAAGTGACATAACCAGGATTCAGTATAGTATAAATCTCTAATTACATAATATTACAATGTCTAATAAATGAAAATCAATGGCTACCGTATGTTGGTTATATTCAAACAATGAAGTTAAATTCATTTCATAATAACATTCATAATAACATTTGAAGAAAATACTGGATAATTTTTCCTAAAACAAAAAGCAATCACCCTGAGGCTATATCAAACACAGAAATCAAACATTAGCATCATGATGGTCAATGGTGAATCAACAGGGGAACAGACGAATTTATATCTCAAAAGATAATCCAAAACAATAGCAATGAAATATGGCCTACATTAGCCAAAGCAAAAAATAAAACAGATTTTTTTAATGTTCCATTTTTTCCCTTTTTTTTTTAAAGATTATTATACAATGTAAAACAGTATACTATTTCCACTATATCTAATGTATATCACAGCTTCTTAATATTGTATATGTATTAGCACTATGACTGATGCATATCATTAGTTATAATTACAAAATGTATCAGTATATATACACCTAATGCAATTATCAACAGATCTGTTGAACACAATGTCCCTAATAAAATCTACTACAATCTGAATATGCTTATTGGTTCTATGTATACATTCAATGCCTCTACTAGAATTTGAACGCGAGACCTCTAGCTTAATATAGTCTTGTGCTCAAAAAAGGCTAAAAAAAAAAGATTCCTCTAACTGAAAGATATACAATTTGGCATTAATATTTTATCAGGGTTATATCAGAATTAATTGCTAAGCAGAATCTACATTGCAATGGTGACTGTTAGAAATAAAGGAAATCACAATTTGGAGTGACTATGTATGGTAGCAAAACATACTATCACGATAGTATTTCAATAGTGAAAATTGCAATGATATTGCGATACTATCATAATAGGTCTTAAAATTCAAAGGCCTTTTTTTTCTCTACACCAGAAATAAAAAGGCACCCAATAAATGTATCAAAATACTCTAATTAGCATTCCAAAAAATCAATTACTTGAAATGAAAACTTGCAATTAATAAAATGAAATCAGACAAATAACCGTACAGATAATAAATCATAAATGTTTCAGGTAAAACAAAACAATTTTGAACTTTCCACATTTTGAACAATTGAAACTCGAACCTTCCATTTCCTTTTAAAGAAAACTATTTCATAAGTAACAATTAACCGTGTCATAGATCTAGATTGGCATTCTCTGGGAAGGATGGTTGTAAAAAGCGTAAAAAACAGACACAGAGTGAAAGAAATCGACCCCTAAATCAAATGCACAATTACAAACTCAGTGATACATCTTGCTTTCAAATTAGACTTTTAACAATAAATAGTTGGATACATTGTCACAACAGATATCAACTTACAAATTATGAACTTATTGTTATAGAGAACAAAGTTATCACAATATGTCAACAAATTTACTGATCCTTACACCACTATCCACAACAGAAATTCTTTAATCTTTGAAAATTTTAAAGATTAACAATTACAAATAATTTTAAATATGTTGTGGTCTTCTGGTATAATTAGACCATTAACAAATATAAGGTACATTTACATTTCAGCTGTGAAATGCCCGTAACAAGTTAATTCTCTTTTTATGTGTACAAACAATTTTATTATCCTTTACAAACATTATATGTCTGCAGCACTCCTATCAAAACACTTGAAAAACAAGAAGGATTTGCTATAAAGCATGCCAGTGCGACTTTATTACAGTACATTATTAATGCATGGTAAATCTCAAGTGTCCTCCAACATGACGAGGCACCAGTTTATGTCACGGTATTCCACCCGAGGATGTTTTCTTAAGTTGGGAGAGTCATATCAAGAACACCAGTCTCTAGTCAATATATTCTGCAATGATTATAGACACTTTAGCTTACTCAGACATATTTCAACATCAAGTTTCTCTCCTAAGCTCTTAAATTAAAATCTGAGACCATCAGTATATCTACTGATTCAAGCTAGCCCCCACCCCCTCACTCACCCCAACAAAAAACAAGAGGGCCACAGTCATCTGACAATCAATGAATGTATGGGCAAAAGGACAAACCACAGAATTGCAGATGGTGGTCTGACAAATCTGGTGAATTCCTACTATGATATTTCAGACAACATTTTATTTAAATCTATCAAAGCGTTAAGGAAGAATAGATTTTTGAAGCAAAATCATCAACTAACTTTCCCAGTTGGGGCCTCATTCCCAGGTTCGTAGGGGTCAAAACAACTTTCTGAATTTAAGAAATGATAACCCACCTGCAACAATGTTTCAGATCAAATTTAGTTGGAGTTTACCCAAGGTATTAAGAAGGAGTAGAGTTTTACAGCAAAATCATTGACTAACTTCCCCTTTTGTAGCCCCTTCCCTCAGTCTCTTAGAACCTACTTTCTGAATTTAAGAATGATTCTCCACCCTCAATGATGTTTCAGACCAAAAAATGGTTGAAATTCATTCAAGGATTAAGGAAGAGTACCATTTTGAAGCAAGATATTGACTAACTTCTCCATTTGAGGCCCCGCCCCTTAGGGTCAAATCATTTTTCTGAATTTAAGAATAAATTGCCCAACTCTATTGATGTTTCAGACAAAATTTGAATGAAATTCATTTCAGCATTGAGAAAGTAACATTTTAAAGCAAAATATAGACTAACTTCCCCATTTGGAGTTGAGTCACGTCCCAAAGTCCCCAGGGGTCAAATCAATTTTTGGAATGTAAGAAATGATTCTCTACCCACAATGATATTTCAGACCACATTTGGTTTCAAATCCATTCAAGTAATAAGGAAGAACAGTGTTTTGAAGCAAAATTATTGACTAATTTTCCCGTTTGGTGCACCACTCATCCTCCGGTCCCTAGGGGTCAAATTTAGGGAAACAATAACCCACCTTCAATAATGTTTCACACCAAATTTGGTTGAAATCAGGTACCAATGAGCTAAAAATGGAGTAAATAGGGAAACTGAACAATAATCAGGTATCAGTAAAATAGAGTAAATAGTGAAGCTAAATGATAATCAGGTACCAGCTGTGATAATAGTGAAAATTTCACATACATGTATATGTAAAATGTACTAAAAATGGTTGAAGACTCCACTTTTATCTTATGGGGTACTTCAGTGGAACCAATTTAATTCTAATATTTAGTTCTGACTCATAAAAATCCCCCAAATACTACTGGTGTTATAAGTGGAGATGTAAGCTAATTACCAGGTACTGTTAAAACTTGCATAGAGCAGCAACAGATTCAAACACTAATCATTAAGCATTATATATTCAGTATATACTGGTATATAACACAATCCGGTCATAGCAATGACTGACTGCCAATATATATATATGAATCTACAACATTCCCTCCAATATCAGTGATACGGTCTCTGTCACTGAGCAGTATATATATACTCTCTAGCACAGCCCCCTAGTGCTAACTACTATCTGGTCTTCACATGTAGCTGTATACCACTTTTGAAGTAGACACACACACATAATCCTGAAAAACCCATTTTGTTACCCCTGCAATCGGTAAATCAATCTGCCATCCAACACTTGTTTGCACGGCATCGCTTTTTACATCATATGAGGCTAATACATGGGAATACCAAGATTACCACAAGGGGTGGAAATAAATTTAAATAGAATGCTCTCCCCACAATCGGCCCCTATGAAGCCACTTGCCCCATTGATAAAAGTTGGAACCATGTCTTGTAACACGATCTCTCTGTGCCTAGGCAGTACTAAGATAGGCACCAAAACACCACAGGGTAGAAGTATGTCAAAGAATTCAGTGCGCATCAAAACTAAATTCCACAACTACTAGACCAACAGCTATCTCTCCTGTTGCTCAGATAAAAATGGGTATACTTTCTTTTGATATCTGTTATGGCCAAAAACACCAATGCAAAACTGGAAACTGCTGTTATATTTCATGACTGGTAAAAATCATAAGAGCAATGTATCAAACTTTTATATTTGTTTAAGTATGACACATTATAGCAATCAACAGCAGTTAATACATTCCTGTATTTGAATACAGTATACAGTCTTGCGAATGTTGTATTCTTCAAGAATTAAGCCAACATATTGTTGTTTTTCTTTTTTATTTATTCTTTTTTATTTGGGGGGGGGGGGGGGCAGGGGAGGGGCTTATTAGAAGACAATATCTTAATTAACATTTGTGTATCTACATAGTTATGGGTGGGCTAAACTTATTACTAGCTGTAGAGTGATTGTTGAATAAATACAGCAGGTACTCCGCTGTAAATATACACATCCATATCTTTAAAAATTATCTCACATGTCTATTCCATTTCCTCATGCTCAACTGGAGTTATCATCACATCATTACAAACCTGACCAAAATAGAAAACTACTGCAGTATTCCTTAAATAGCCCACTAGTGTTTTGATAACCATCATATTCAGTAATTCATTTTTTCTCCACTCACATATCAAATTATTGGTAGTCATCATTTTATTTTTTGCACCGATTGAATGCAAATATATTATTAATGATTTATTAATTAGATAAAAATGGCACAAACATTACAAATGACAATTTTAAAAATTCATTTCTAAATAAATTCACTATATGAAATTCATGTAACTTTTTGAAGATTTTTTAATATCGTTTATATGACCTGTACTCAATCAATAACATGCAAGTTATCTGTTCTAATGAAAATCCTACCAGCATCAATGGAAGACTAATTGATTACATGAACCTGGTGATGATATGTGTAATCAAAGTATTGCTGGGAGTTTGTCACACAGAGTAACTTGGATAGTGATACTCATGGCTGCTCATAATTTGCTATCTTTTTTATGGTAATGTATTTTATTCTTTGATTATTCAAATTATACCATGCAAGGAAAAAGATATGCAAATGTACAATATGGCCACTTGACCTTTCACATAGA